AGTTAGGAGACATTTCTGTAATCTCCAAAGCCACAGAAGGAACATTGGAGATCAGGAAAGAATCAACAGCTGATGTTCATGACTTCCCTGCTCATGTTCAGCCTCTGCAGATTCAGCAATGCTCTTCGCTAAACCCTGTTGTGCGGATAGGAAAACTCTGGCCCCCCAAACTCAATGAAGCCCTCCATTCCTCTTTACCTGTCCATGGAATTCTCCCAAGGCCACTCCCCTCGCTTGGAGCTGCTTTGCACCCTCCTATTCCTCTTTGTTGTCTGGATGGTGGACAGAGAGGAATGAGTGAGTAAATTAACATTTGTTGCTCCACCCACTTTTTCCTTCTGGAACTACAGCTAGCGTGCTCCACGATGGTTTGTTAGGAGGGCATGTGATCCTTGGGTTGAAACAGCTTCCCTACCCTTTCCCAAGCAACTTTGCACCATACCGATCCTAATTCAGCTTTTTAAATAAAAATACTAACACTAACAAAGAAGATACATGAGCTTGAGAGAATTTATTTATTTTCCTATGAACAATAAGTCATAATTATAGAGAAGTTTTCATACACAGAAAAATTCCTTTTGTTTCCTCTTTTTGCTAAATGTAACAGAGCACAGTAATATTTACAAATTCGTATGATTCCCCGCCCCCATTTTCTCTCATTTTTTATTATACACTGCTTTTTCAGGTTGAAGCAAACTGCAAAGACTTATTGGTACTGGTATATTACAGCTACTTACATTATTTAAGAACAGCAAATGGAGAAAATAAGTTATTTAAATATTGATTCATATACAGAAAGTGCAACATTTGTTAGTTGTTACATAAATCGTTTAAAGTTTTCATTTTCCAAAAAGAGGTCTTGAGTATGAGTAAAAGTTAGCTTGGAGTCAATGCGTTTAGACTAAAAAGAATACAATACAGATGTACAGCCATGACTTGGTGAATTGACCTTTATTCCTGCACTTAGATCTGTGTGAAAAGGGTTAATAAGGATTTGTGCTCCAGATCTTATTTCCAGAGTTTCCACTTGCACCAAGCCGGGTTTACAATTACAAGTCTTTAGACCATCAGGCCTTACCTTGCTAACGTTATGATTTGATGCCAACTAAAACAGTATGACATGGAGACTTAAGTGGCCCTGTATGTCTAGAGATGAATTGAATTGGCACATGCTTCTGGCTTTGTGTATTTTGACAGTCTCCAATCCAACATTTTCTTGGAACCCTGCATGTAAGGAGATGGTGGTAAATAACATGCTATTGTTACAGTGAGTTCATTGCTGTACATAATGTTTAAGAGGTACCTAACTTTTTAAGGCTTTTCCAGGATCAATATATATACTGTTGAAATGGTCAACTGCTAAATCAACAATAAACTAAAATAATCTGTAAGCAAAAGTCTAACTCAAGAATGAACAAATTGAAAAAATATTTAAAAGCAATGTATATATTTTAAAAATCAGGAAAATTTGCACTGGATTTGTAAACAGGCATAGAAGTTTGTCATTCAGTTTAAGCAATCATCATTGTTCCATTCCTAACGTAGCTTAGGGATATTAATGTATACAATGCTTTCGATAAGAGTGAACACTGGTTTTTCCCTTTCCTTTCATTCAAGTTTGAACCAGTAAGGCAGCTTCTGTAGCCTAACAAATTTAGATTGCTTTTGTTGTTTAAAAGAATAATTATGTTGTTTAAAAGAACAATTGTTGGCTTCTTTCCTTCGCTCAATTTGTTCTTTTAAAAAGCAATTGCCTTTTGAGGGTGTATTTAGAAAAGGAGAAAAAACTTAAGTTGAGGTGAGGGCTGCATTCTGTCAGGGGACAGAGGTCAGGGGTTGCATATGGGCCTATGGAGGGGTGACACCCCATTCACACTACCCACCCACATTTTCCCATGCAAACTAATACCTCTCTTCACACAATTCTCAGGGCTATGCTTTCCTTTCCACAGGCTCCAGCAGGGAAAGTCTCCACCAGCAGCTTGCTGTTGAGGGTGCAGAGGACTGCGGAAGGAGATGGAACCTGATGCAGGCCATCATCTCATGATACGTACGTGCCCCCGATTCAGAAGGATAAATATTGCAAGGTACTCATTTTTTAAATATTTGTTTTAAAACACAACCCAACACCTAAATGAAAATCCTGTTGGTCATACCACATGTATTTGTAACCATATGACCCAAATTCAGCATAGCACATGTGCTCTGATGTACTTTGTGCATTGCTTCATTAACTTCAATTCCAGTAACACATTTTTAAATGTAAATGAATGTCCATGATCTACTTTCTCCATTTAATAAATGGAACACTGTTTCCAAGTGTGGCAGCTGTGTGCACATCAGAATACATTGAACAGATTTGGTGGAAGCGGTACATTTTGGGGGTCCCAAGGTCCTTGATGCGGGTGGCACTGTGGTCTAAACCACAGAGCCTAGGGCTTGCCAATCAGAAGGTCGGCGGTTTGAATTCCCTGCGATGGGGTGAGCTCCCGTTGTTCAGTCCCAGCTCCTGCCCACCTAGCAGTTCGAAGGCACATCAAGTGCAAGTAGATAAATAGGTACCGCTCTGGCGGGAAGGTAAACGGCGTTTCTGTGCACCAGAAGCAGCTTAGTCATGGCTGGCCACATGACCCGGAAGCTGTCTGTGGACAAACGCCGGCTCCCTCGGCCTATAGAGCGAGATGAGCGCCACAACCCCAGAGTCGTCCGCGACTGGACCTAATGGTCAGGGGTACCTTTACCTTTAAGGTCCTTGACAGTCAGAAGTCAAAGGGGCCACTTGCTATGTTATGTTTTTTACTGTGTGAAAATATTATTGTAAAGCACACCCCTACCAAAAATGGTTGTCTGGGAATTAGCATTGCACATGACAGTCTTGGAGACAGACAATACATGGTGCCACCAAGGAATGTTTCTACTTTGTCCACATGAATCAACTGACATGTAATGTGAGAAATGACTTATTTTAATGACTGCTTAATGTGCACAATTACTTGCCACTACAGACAGTTGCAGGTGCAAGGCACTTTTCTGGAGATAACATATTCTTCCTCCTCACTATTACTGTCTCCCCAAATTTATGCTTATCATCTCCTTTATATGAGAGCAATCCTACTTCCCGCTGCACCACATGTGATCTTTTGCCCCATATTTATATATCTATTGTAGAAAGGGGTCATATTAGTCTATTGCAAAAGCAGTCCTATTGCTTCAAAATGTATTATGTTTGTTTTAACATCCACAGGTTTAGTCTGTAATATCTACTTAAATGGAAAGTGGCCTGAAAGCAATGTGTCATTGTCTGTGTATGGATTACTGGAAGTATTTACGGTACTTTTAAACTACATTATCCATATTAACATTTGATTGCAGGAGGACAGCTGTATCCATATTACTGGTTCAGTTAAATTGAAGCACCTGAAGTCCCTTTTCATTGCTTGAATGCTCTAGTTTCAAAGAGCTAACTTCAACTGGCTTGTGCTCATCATGTGGAAGCTAACCTATGCTGGTATCTTTCAGACCCATTATTAGGCCCCAAGTGAAAACCTTTTCAGAAAATGAAACTTTTTTGGGCACTTCAACACTTTTGGAAGCTTGTTCCATGTGCTTTAATGATGCACTTTTAAACAAGTTTATTTAGGATTAAAGCCTTAACGACTGCTTTTTCAATTGTTAAAGGGTTTACTTACTAACCTCCCTCAGCCCCGGCCCACATTCAACTGTCTCACATTCTCTACAGCCATCCTGTTAAAGCGTCTCTTCCTTATGTCTCATCAAAGGAAAGAAAACCCAGAGCAGTTTGGACACCTCAGTTTAAATTACTTTATAATGTTTTGCTTTTAGCTTTAAAAAAATACTGCAAAAAGTTAAAAAGCACATCAAGTCAAAAACACTTTTGGGAAGGCTGTGTGCCTTTGTGACCCAACTTTCTCTTAAGGTTGAATGTGCTTTAAGAAGTTGATTAAACTACTTTCTTTTCATAGGCAGGACAAAGCAAGTGAGTTAGAGAGGTGACGAGACTTGCGTAAAATTACAAAGCAGCTTTGAACCAGATCTGAGTTTCCAATTCCATGCTGAGCTCATTACATCTTCCAGTTTACTCGCTGTTATATCCTGAAAAGCCTCTACAATTTTAGCTTGTTAATGGACACTAAAGAATAATCTAGATACATTAGAACTCAAGCTGAGCTTATTTGTATACAAAATGTCTGGCCATGTACAAAAATAAACTTCATCTATATTCACAGAAGGGAGTAAGAGATTCTACACTGCATTGTTCAATAGTTTTAGAAAACAAGAACATGGTGAAGAAAGAACAAGCTGTTTCAGCATCCAGGTGAACCTAAGTAGAGCCCTGCTGGATCAGACTAAAGGCTCATCTAGTTTAGCAGCCTGATCTCACAGTGCCAACCAGGTGGCTTTTACTCTAATTGTCATTTTAACACCCAATAATAGAGGTATTATATTGACTTTTTGCAAGAATGACAGCTTAAAGTTTGTTTTCCCCATCAATACAATGGAATGTGATTCTTGTTCTGGTACTGTGTCAGACACACAATTTTCTTATCAGTTAATTTACTTCCCTGGATAACCTTTTGTTTTCAGAGACCAATGTTTTCCATTGATATGGTCAGGATACCAAGTCAAAGCTGCAGCATTTCAACTGACAATATAATACAGTACACCAAATTGCAAGTAACATGAAAACCCCTTTTTATAATTATATATGTACATACACAAGGCAAAATATCTTTTAGCCTTTTAGTAATACCAGCATACGAACTGCCATAAACAAGTTGTTAGCCTGAGAACCAAAATCTTGACTTCAAAAAGAAAACTTTACAAAACAGATGTTACAATCTACAATAACGGCTATAAGACACAAACCTGTCAGGTGCCAAATAATAGTGACAACAACGAAATGCCTCTGAAAAACGAATGCTGTAAGTGAACTGCTCAAAAGCATTTTAAGGCAAATAAAAAGCTGAGTGCTAAAGAAGCAGTTATAAAAATGACTTTAATTCTATACAAATAAGGAATTTTCTGAGTTGATCTTGGAAATTGCACTGGCATAAAAGGAGATCCACAATAAAACTAAATCCATTGAGGATCTTTGGCCTACCTAGAGGCTCAGAAACCTGAAAAAAAAACCACCAAACACAGGAAGGAGTTTTATTTATGTAAAACGAATTGGTGGAATGAAAAGGATAAACATAAGCTACTATGAAGAGATGTAATGTTTAAGATTTTTACTTGTAAAAACACCCCCTGGGGTGTTTATGTTTGCTTAGGACTGTAGACCCATGATTTATCAATGAGCTGCACTTTAACAAATGAGCAGCCCCAAAGTACAGAGACCTAACTCTACTCCTCCAAGTTCCTGGGGCTTAAAAGTTGATGTAAAGTTCCCTTTTTTGTAATGGACATGTATATTCTGAAATGGGTCGAAGCCAGCCTCAGTCTTTAAGAAACTAACATAACTGTGCCTTTTCTTTAAGGGGTAATCAGAAAGCACCATTTCCCTCTCAAAACAACTTCTTATATTCTCCTTTGTGAATCATTGACGAGAAACACAAGGGCCTCAACGTCTTCCCAAAGACCTCCATTGCCTGATGCCAAAGAGCTTTCTGGAGAAATTAAAGATGAAATTGACATGGTAGGAAACTCTGGCTTTTCCAACTGGCAGATGCTATGTTTCAGAGTGTGTTATATTGTCTCTGGGTTGAGGGTACTGAGTAGTCTTGCTGCCGCCAAAAGCTTGCTTATGTGCCTCTCCTCTGTGATGCCAGCCTCATGAAGTGATGTTTTTGACAGAGAAGGCACTTTGCTTAGGTCATCAATTCCTGCAGCCATGAAGGAGCTTGAGTACATCGGAAGGCCAATAGAAACCAGCCAGTCGGCTATGGAAGTGATATGGCCGGGGGACACAGGTTTTCGACAGATTTCAGTGAGGCCTCCACTTGGAATCTGTAGCAAGAGAAAACGCAATATAACCAGCTGGTTGATATTTCTTTTTTAAAAAAAAACCTGTAACATGGGGCTTACTTCCAAGAGGTATCTGTAATGCTATATTGTGAAGCAGATATCTGGGCATTTCGAAGCAGTCCTTTAGCTTAGCAGTACCATTTACTAGATACTATCTTGCTTAGTCACCTCAAAATTGGGGCTGTGCAATGTCAGCTTTTCAACTTTGCGATGTATCACCAGCCAAACACTGTGATCTGATGATATACCACAATGGTGAAACGGAGGGAGGAACAAGCTGCATTGGAGTTGGGCTGAAATTGCAACCAAGGGAGATGAGGTGGTTTCACTCAGTGCCTCATGGGGCTAATGCAGTTTGTTCCTCCCACTGGGTGTGGAGGGAACAAGCTACTGAGGTGAGCCGGGGGGGGGGGCTCCCTCAAAGGCGCATGGCTGCCTTCGCCCAAGCAGGCGTGCTGCATCTTTACTCCCAGGGTGACTGACCACCCAGGAGGAAAGACGCAGCCTGTCTGCCCTCCCCCAGCAAAGGCAGCGATAGCCAAGTGCATGGAGCCTGTCAGGCTCTGTTTGTAGGGCTGCCTCTGCTACCTCTTTCTCCCAAAGAGGTGGCCCACCCATGTGGGGCTGAGGCAGAGGTGAGTGGCTTATTTAGACTGCTCCTCTGAGGAGTGTGCAGTTGCGAAGCAATTGATCAAGCCTCCTCCTGCAGGCTGGGGGCTTCATTAAACTGCTCCACTGAGGACGGACAGCTGCGTCCCCTCAGCAGAGTGGTCTAAATATACCACCTGCTAGAGCTATGAGGGCCAGAGCGGCTGCTATTTCATCTGTGATCCAGGCCTAATCAAAACACACATTTCCTTTCCTCCCCACCCCCCAATTTCTTTTCTGCTGCTACCTCAGTATTGATTTCCTCACTCAAAATCATGCAAGTTCACAAATCCAGCTTCATTGGCGGCGGCAGCAACTATAACGTACACTGAACTTGAATGTTCCTCTGGGTTTCCATATTTCATGGCTGTCACTTGTGGTGTTAACTCATGCAATGTCTCATCAGCAATAGAAACAGCATCAAAAATTCTTTGCATATGAAAAATTAAGAAGCCAAGGCTAGAATCTTATTTGTTTTTCTTTTAAAATGTAGATAATTCACAAATAGTTTCCCCAACCTGCAATCAGACATGCTAAAGCCCCAGAACTCCATGTTGTTTAGCTTTCATTTCCCATTCCTTGGAACTTGATCACTGAATGTAGACTTACCGCCATGCGGTGTTGCTTCCTCAGCTGCTTCACCCGAATCTGGTCCAGGTTTGTAGCAACATCCTTTACAGCGTGCTCTAAGTCTTCAGAGTACCTTTGTACCAAAAGTTCAGGAATCCCACAGCGGCCATGCTGCAGCCAGAGATGAGTGATAAAGGCAGGGGGGTTCAAGTTAATCAATGTGTCTCTTCACATACTAACAACAAAATGGTTGGCCCCTTTGCATTAAGAAACTACAATAGGTTTAAGTGTGTTCTTTCTTCAGTTTCACAGAAAATTACCTTTACGAAATTTGTTCATTTACTTCAATAATTTGTAGAGAGGAGGTTGTGAGTCTTAAATCTCAAATATATATTCCTTATAAAGGTTTATTAAAATTATTGGGAAAGTATAACTCAGTATGCTACTTTGTTTGAGAACTATGGCTGATAACAGAAAAAGTGCTCTCTGAAGTCAACCACTTTAAAAGACCTGTTGAGTTCTAAGTCTAAATTTAATACAACTGAAATATCCTTAACTTTTGCTTGGCTGTGCCCAAGTCAAATAATGGACAAATGAACATTTCAGACCTTGTTGCCACATGGCAGAGGCTGCTTTTTATATGCTACTAACATTAATACTGATAATGTTACAGAGCTGAGAGCTCTAAGAGCCAATGTGCATATGACCACTATAGGGCGACTACTTCAAATTCTGAATTGTTTTACATGCAGTGGCTCACCACATGGATGAAACAAGCACCTAAAATGAAAAGCGAATTGTTGAATGCCAAATCTGCATGGTATACACATGGAGCCATTTAAGATTGCTTCACACTGTGTCTGAAATGTATGAAAAGTTTTAAGAATGTTTAGCCTAATAGATCTTTCATTTTAATTGCCAGTTTAAAGACCATTTTTAAGGAACAGCTCCAACACTCAAGTGGGGAAGGAAAACAACGCAAATATGAACAGATTAAACATTTTTCAGCCTCCTCACACTGTACCTTGTCAGAATATGGGTCTTCTGTGAGATCAATATCTTCAGATTGCAGCTTGTTTTCTATCAACATTTCCAGATCCAGTCCTCTATTAGAAGAGATTTTTCTCACTGACAAAGGATCAAGTTTTAGCACATGTTGCTGGACAGTAGCAGTCTCTGGAAGATCTGAAAACCAAGGAGGTCGTACGCCTGAAGGACTACTGGGCTCCTGCCCAGGAGATGATCTACACACAGTCAGTACATTGGAATCGGAGGAGCCAGGCTGGAGGCTCTTTTTCGCTGGCAAGGATGGCACATCTGGACAAGAAAGGGCTGAGGGGAGGTGACAGTGTCCATTAGAAAGGCGTTCTCTGCTTTTTTTGGCAGGGACTGGTGGTGGCTGTGAAGATGTTTTTGGCTGTGCTCTTGT